TCCATCCCTGCAACCACTGGTTATTTCCATCAGCAAAATGTTTAAGAGCAACTTAAGGAAGAGACAAGAAGCCTGGTTGTTTCCTGAAAGCCTTCTGTTGACACCTAAGAAAGATAAGGAAGGTTTGGCCAACACCAAACCTTGGGGAACGGATGTGAAAGGACTCAGTGTAAGAGATTTAGAAACACTAATACCAATGAACTTCACTTATGTTATACAAACTAAGTCTGAAAGTGCTTTGAATAAAATAAAATAGAACATGAAAGTGACAAGAAAGCATGTTGTTCATCATTTGATGAATTTAAAAAATGGTACATAAAATAATGGTGCCTCTTATAATCAACAAGTCTTAGATTTGGTATAACCCAATACATATGAATACTGGGTCACAGTGTAAAATATATATGTACATATAAAACATTTTTATACTGAGTCCAAGTTTTTGAGTATCTGAGTTTTCTCCTCTGTTCCCCCAAATACATGTTTGACGGAGCATTTAAAAATTGTCTCTAGGATTTCTCCCAAGGCCCCCCCCCCCCACACGCACACACGCACTTTTATTGATTTCAGAGAGAAAAAGAGAAAAGGAAAGAGTGATAAACATCGATGAGAGAGAAACATCAATCGCTTGCCTCTGGCACGCACGCCCTACTGGAAATCGAGCCTGCAACCCTGGTGTGTGCCCTGACTGGGAATCAAACCGAGGACCTCCTGGTTCATGGGACGACACTCAACCAACTGAGCCACACCGGCCGGGCTGTAAAATATATTTTTTACTGTTGGTTGAGGTCTAAAAGTTTGAAAGCTCCTGCTTTAGGAACTTTCATCAAAACAAACAAAAACAAGTCTTTCTTGATTCCACGTGTCTCCGTCTCTGCCCCCCTCCAAGTGGTTCAAGGTCTGTCTGTGCCATAGCTCCACTTCCCACTTCATCAACTTTTTGCTCTTTTAGAAACATTTTAAACACACTGCTATAAAACCTCTTTGCACCACGTACACAGTTCCGGATAACACCCCGGCCTTCTAGCATCCCTTCCTGAAGGAGCCTCCCCACCCCCTTTAGTTTTGTAGTCTTTGGACACATACTAAAATATATAGTTGGTTTTGTCTGAACTCTAAATGGAATCATTCTGTCGAAAAATTTGTGTTTCTCTTCCCTCGACACTGAAGGTCCCTCCATATTTCAAATGCACAGAAGCTGCAACACTGCTATTCTTGGGAGCATTTGTGATCTTGCCTCCCCGGCGTGTGTGGTCAGTTCGACTCAAACTCTTAACAAGACTCGGGAGGCAGGTGGATGTCGCCGCTTGTAGCTCTAATCTGGGAGGATTCCGTTCCCCACAAAGCAGTTTCAGAGTCATCTGGCGGCCACGGAGGCGTCGGGAATATGAATTTCTGGTGTGCGCTGGGCATAGATTTCATGGACGCTTTTCTAAAACATGCAACTGAAAGCCAAGTTGAAGTACAGACTAAGTTTTTAATCCAAATACTGAAATACCAATCTGGGCAACAGCGAAATGAGAAGCCTACATACTCAAATATTTTTTTATACAACCAAGACATTTTTAATACACAAATAAAACAGATGAAAAGCTAGTCATCATATCCTTAGAAGCTGGACCTTGAATTAAAAAAATTCAAATTGTTTCGTTTTTCTATTTATTACTTTCCTTTACCGTAATTTTCTTTCTTTTGGCCAACTGGTCTATTGCTAAATTAAAATTACAGTCCGATTTTCCGAGCATGTCGGTCTAAGAAATTTCAGCTGCCCCCCCACCTCCACCTCATACACGTCACAGAGATTTGTCATTGTGGTTCAAAATAACTGAATACTCCAAAGTTTCTTTATTCCAAAAAATAAATTATATAGCTTTTCTAGGCTTTAGGTATTTCAAATACAAAACGGTAGTATCACCAGACCTGTCCACATCCTAGGATTGCTCTGAAGACAGAACACAAGAGAGCAACCTGAAGAGGGTGACCACGTTCTCTGTGCACCCGGTGGACATAAACACACATACACACCCCTCAGAGTATTTCCAAGATTTTGGGGAAGTTGCGAGGGGCATTCTATAAAGTCCAATTACCCCACGTTGAAATTAGCTCACAAAAGAAAAAAAGGAGGGCAAGCACGCAGATCATTAAGAGCTTCAATCGAAATCACAAAGTATATATACATGATCGATGATGTGAAGACTGACCGACCCAACACGTTTGTGTTTAATCAAAGAAATTCTGCATTAAAAAAAAAAAACAGACAGAAAACCTTCCAGAGCAGTGCTATTGCCACTTCTGAGAATGATTCAGTCCAATTTATGAATTTCATTATTTCTAGCAACACGCCCTACAATCCGGCTTAAGAATTCTTATTATAGAAAAGAGCACATTTGAATGCTAGGCATTTCCTGCCGACGCTGTGGAAGGTGACGCTGTCTGGCTAAGTTGCCAAAGGATCCTTCTTACAATGTCTCAAATATATATTTTTATCTATAAGAAACATTTCCTATTATTTAGCACCTTAGGCTCAAGTAAAAAAGTTTTTTGGCACAGAATTCTAGAGTCTTCTTATTTAATTTCTTGATAATTCTGGTGTCCTTGCCAGAAAATTATGTATCGAAGTACACTGTTAAAAATTCTGGCATCGTTTAAATCTTTGAACGAGTCCGTTATCTGGGAATTGTTCAATAAATAGTTTGAGTAAATTCAATAACACAGTTCTTACGCCCCTTAGCGATTTCATAACGGGGTCTTTAAAGAAAACTGGAAGTAGCATCTTACCAAGTAACTCTAGGTGGCTAATGGGTGTCCCCGGTCAGCAACTGGCAATCCTGGATGCGTGAACAGTATTAAACGCTATCAATAATCCACGTGAATGCCAAGGAATCGTGATCCAGAGTAAGCTGAACACAACACAACAGCGATGGGAACGCACCTCCCTGGGGCGAGGCCGGCCTGCGGAGCTGGCTCCCGCCCTGGAGAGGGGAGCCCGCGTCCAGCAGGACGGCCGCCCGCCTCTCCTCACAGCTTAAATGAGATGCGAACACTTTTGTTGGAAACTAAATACATTTTAATAGAAAACAAAATACAAAATAACTCTTTTCAGAAAACAGAAATATTTAATCCTTTCCCCACAAATTAGACCTTGCTTTAGCCTCATAGTTTTCATATGTGTGCACACGTACTTACAGTTTGTTTCACAAAGTGTTTATTAAACTGCTATTGCGATGCAGGAGGTGGGAGCTGATGATCTCAAGGAGCAAAAGACCGAGAAAGCCACACCTCTGAAAAAAAATGCTCATTGGGAAATTCAATGTTTTCTAATTCTACCTTTTGCTGTATCACCTCCAATTATTTTCATTTCTCTACGACAATCTGCCCTTTCAGGGGAGGGACCTGCTCGTAGAAGTGCAGCCTCGAAACAGCCTTTCTTTCCCACCGTCACTGCAAGAGCCCAAGGCTTCCTCAGTCAGACCCACCCACCCACCTCTAGAAACGCGTCGGCGGGGATGACCCCGTCGCCCAAAATCTTCCCTTTCACAATACACTGTGCTACCACAGTCTCTGAATTCCCTGAACCTCAAAATTCCAAGTATCACAGCCAGTGCCAGGAGTCAAACCTGAAAGGCGGGAGCAGAGACGGCCCCTCTGCCAGTGCTAGGTTCCTCCTCAATAATAATAATAATTACTATAATTATAATAACAATAATAAAAAAAATCCTGGTCTGTAATCACGGGAAAGGAAAGGCCTTTCCCAGGGTGATCCTTGCCCCCTTCCCTCGTCCCAGCCCCAGCCCCAGCGTCCGTACACCAGTGAGGACGCCCTCCGCCCGGTGACCAAGGACACGCGGCCCCGCAGCTCGCTCCTCCTGAGCGCCCTCTGCGACACGCGGACCCGATGCCACGCCCGGCCAAGTCAGCAGCATCGTGGTTTCACAGAGGGGGAAACGAGACGGACAGGAGGGTGCTCACGCGAGGACACGGTGGCATCTTTGTAAGAACTTGCCACCTGGCCTCCAGAGCATCTGAGTTCTTGAGCTCAGGTCCGCTGACGACCACCGGTCCTCCCCTGTCCTTGACATTCGGGGGGCTGAGCGAAGGGGTGACATGCTCAGGAGTCTGCCCAGGACAAGGGGAGAAGTGGGGAGTTGTTCACAGTCAGTCAGTGATTCGATCATAAGACTTGCGACCCGGGGCCCTCCGCGCCACGCGGCCCCAGTCCGTTACAACGAAGGTAAAAAAAAAAAAAAAAAAAAAAAA